GAGTTGATTCTAAGGAATGTTGATGTTTTGTAACAAGCTTTTGGTAGAAAAAAATTTATTGCAGAAAAAGTGATCATTTTTTATCTTGCAAGAGAAATTACAAAATAGAGTTGCCAATATTAAAGTGTAAATTTTTAGTAATCGTCAGCTTATTTAATATAATTTAATGATATTTAACATCATTTTCTAGAGGCTACACATTGAACATATTGGAGTCATTTCTATATCTATTTTGTAGGGTTGTTCTGATTGAAAAATGTGAAGCAACCATAAAAATGGCCATGCAAAAGATTTTGATCACCTAAACCTTTTTGTTTTCTGTTTTGAGTTTTGTTGCCAAAAAAAATTGTATATTTGAGGTGGAAATATTTTATTGCAGCTGCACTGATTTTTATTTTTATTTTACTATGTTGAATGAAAATTCTTGCATTCTTTCATTGCTTGGAATCATGGTTAAAAATTTCAAAGAAACCAGGATGAAGATATAGTCAGCTGGCAAACAATAGCTAAAAAACTCAGAATTTCAAGTAGTAGTATTTGAGAAATCCTCTCAAAGTTTCAAGGCACTGAAAGTGTTTCATATCAATCAAAATGTGATTGTCCTAAAATGCTGCAAGGATGGTATGAAAACATTAGAAGAGTAAAAACTCCCCTAAAGAAGACAAGCAATGGACAACTGGGACTTGTCCAATTTGGTGCCACTAAATGCATTCCTTGGGAGTACAAAGGGGTGCATTTCAGCTAGGAAGCAGCATTAAATAAAAAGCATTTAATGTGAAGACTAAATTATGTGATGAAAATATTTGGAATAAAATGAAAATAGAATGGAGCTGCATTTCAATAACGGAGAATTTGTCAAAAGATCTACAGAAAAGTGAAATGTGACATGATGAAAACAGTAAGAGTGGTACTTTTGAGATACATAAAGTAATGGTTCAAGATGGTTGAAATTTATCATAGCTTGAATAGCTGTTGAAGAACGATTTAATATCAAATTTGAAAAAAGTGAGATTTTTCATCATGACAGCACCAAGTCCATAGATTGTGTGGTTGACAAAGACCATACTGAAAGATCAACCTGCTCAGAGTCATATCATTGAGCAAATGTGGTCAGAACTAAGAGAAGAGTTCAACCACTGAGAAAGGCACTCATACCTGTGAAGGATTTGTACACATCCCTTCCCAGGTGTATTGAAGCAATTATTCAAGCTAATAGAAATCCCACAAAACATTCATTTCTTGTGACAAACATTATGCAATAAATTTTCATTACAGACATTTTTCTGTTTTAAAATACTGTATCTGGATTGGTTTATGTGAGAGGCACAAAAACCTTTGCACAAGCCATTTGGGAATTGTCTCATACCTCTCTATGATGGCAAGGAAATGACTCCAATAGGACCACTGTTTCATCTGTAGAAAATGTCATACAAAACACCCATTTATAAGTTTAACAAATATGAGAACTTTTGCACAATACAATATAAAATATATTCAAACTCATATCCAGATATTACTTTGAGTGGTTACTTTTTGATGGCTTCAGAAATTTGTAGAATGTGTTTTCCTCCCAAATTTGTTCAAGTATATATAAAATCCATTACAGGTTCTCTTAAGTAATCACAAAAGAGGTTTCTGCTGGAAGCCAATAAATATAACTTTCTTAATTTTCTTTAAGTTTCTAAAGAAAAAAGAGAGAGAGAGAGAACATATTTGATGTAATTTTTTATGTTTAGAGTTTAATTCAACTTAGTCTTATGTAGCTTGTGAAGCCAGACAAGCCAGTTGGTGACATCAATAAAACTGAGTTGATACGCTGATCATCCCCAAAAAATATTTTTATTAGTTTAATAATAAATACATTTATATAAAATGAACTATTTATAAATGATGATGTTTTCCAATTTATTAAAATTCTAAAGATTATTTCATAGAAAAAAATAAAATGTCAGTGAATTTTGAGTGAGCTAATTTTTTTAATTTTTTTTTTTTAGAAAATGTAAATACTTAAAGATTTTACTTGGGATACAAAATGTTATTATTGCAGAGGAAAAGGTATAATTACTATGAATGGTATTCTGAAAAAGAAAAAATAAGCAGCTGATCAGTTTTTATTCTTCTCTTCAGAGCTTGATCAAGGAATTAAAACAAATGTGCTTTATGACTAAAAGAGGGGAGAAATATTCGAAATGAGGATAAGATACACAAATTATATATTACATTGAGATCTAACAGCCATTCTTTCTTGTTGCAAAAATTTAATAATTATTGTCCTGAAAACCTTCAATTTAAAGTCTGAATGTGACTGGCTTAAAACAGAAAATACATTTTCATGGTAGAACATGACACTGACAATTATTCATTAGAGGTTCTGCAATTGCAAATCTGGATGTATTCATAATGATGACCTCCCCTAGATTAGTTGTACCCCGGCAGATACTCTACTGTATCCTAAGGACACAAAGTTACTTCCCTTTCCGTTAAGATTCGAATGTAACGTGTGTATTTGCTATTTTTAAACCGATTCAAATAGTTATTAAATTTTGTTATCTACTACATCTTCCTGTCACAACATCTTATATTTATGCAAATTCTGAAATCAACCCTTACATATACAAAGTGGCACATGTTAACTCATTATTTTCTGCAGCTATTAAGTAGTTCTACTTAAATAGTCAGTGTCACACTGACACTAGAACTATTATCCCCGTCAATATTACTTAGAAAGCTGAAAACCAGTCAGCTGTCCATATATTCTTTTCTTTTTAGAACTACCATACATGGTAATTTATACCTTTTCTTTTTCTATTAAGTATGTGTTTTAATTCAAGCAGTAATAAATGTAAATAGTATTGAAATAGAAAAAATATCCTTCAGTTAAATTTTTTTTAAATGAAGACAGGAAGAATAAAACCAAAGTGAAAAATATGTTAGACATCAAAGAAAAGCAGAAAATGATTTGCTTCTCAAAATAAATAAATAAAAAATAGAATATTTGATTAAAATTAATAAACTTTGATTTGGTAGAAATCATACTAAATTACCAAACTTTTAATTGCAATCAAACGTTTGAAAATTTAAGCATGTTTACAATGTGAAAAAGAAAAAGAATTTTAAACTGTGTAAGTGCCTAAAATCACTTGGATATAGAGCCATTACTACAAAAAAAAATTTAAATGATATTTAAATGTATTTTTTGATTTTGTTTATGGGCCAATTCAGTTATTGAGTATTTGCCTTTATACATATATGTGTGCACAAGAGTTTTGTGACAGTATCAAAGATTTTACAAATACATAAATGCACTGATTGCTATAACAATTGGAAAATTGTTGCATCAATCTTTCAAGCAGTGAAGAATTAAAATCAGCTTTGGAAATCTTGACTTATCTGAACTTAAATACTGGCCAGAATATTTCAGAAAATCTTCCAACTTTGTCCCTGATTAAGCAGGCCCAGAAATATATGAAAGGACAGACTTAATAGATGGGTGGATAACTGAGATACAAACATATTTTATGCAATGTCCAGCAAAGCAACAGGTTTCAATATAAACACCTTTGGGCATTGAATAATTTAAGAGCAAATTGATGTTAAGTTTGAAAAAAATAAAAAAATTTGGAAAAATTCAAATTTTTATAATTATGAAACCAAGTTATGTGGATAAATTAACAAATGACTAATTACATAGAGCAATACACAGAACACCAAAAGGATAAAAAAATGCAGAGTGTAGATTTAACCCAAACAGAGTTCATTCATTGTATAATCTAAAGAAAAAGAGTTTCAGAAATATGAAGAATGTAATAAACAAAGAGGTAAAATTTTCAAAGTCGGAAACATTATTTTAGATGACCCATCTCACAAATGAGAATAGTATTCAATAAAAAGAGATAAAGAAAATGGAAGAAAACCTATTATAAAAGATAATTATGGTCTTATTTGGCAAAATGTAAAATACAGATTTAAACAAATGGTAAAAACTTAATAATCATATTATCAACACAAAAACATTACAAATATGATCATTTGTTTTAAGTCTGTTTAAAGCCATTTTTGTAATTTGGCAATTTTAAGTTTTCCTCATTCTAAAATAAATAAAAAATGTAAATCATTCTTATATAAAGAAATCAAAACCAAAAAGAGAATAACATAAAAAATATGAAACAAATTTTATAAAAATTTTTGAAAATTTAAATCTACTTCATAAAAATATTTCAGGAAACCTGAATGTTAAAAAAATTAGAGTAAAAGATAAAATCTTTATAGCAGTGACAGATTAATAACAAGTAACTATTTTTATGTAATTTTAAATGTGCAGAAATTAAAGATGCTTTTCTGAATGTATAATTAAAAAAAAATCTTAGGATAAAAAAAAATGTGGGGAACAAACTTTGAAGGTTGATCACTGTTCAAATGCTTTAATATGAGAGAACTTTAGATAACATTTTGAAGTAATCCAATATTGTACAAAAATAAATTATCCATATTTTTTACTGCAGGAAATCACTTATGGTATAGCTTCTTGACTAATTTCTATAGCACTATTTAAAATAATTTTATATTTTTATAGAAGGAAATTATTTACTCAAAACTTTTCAATGAAAAATCTATATGCTTTCAAGTTGTAAGAAAGATTATTCGTTTGAACATTAAACAAATATTTTTAATGGCCTATAAATATAACAATCTATTAATTGTAATCATAACAAATAGAGAGTCACAGAAGTGGTAAAAAATTGTTTGTATATTTGGTCATTAGGCAAATTCAGAAAAGGTTTTAAAATAATTAAATGATGAAAAAAACAATCAACAGAAAAAAAAAAAATTGTAAAAGACAGCATCAATGAAACCCATTAGTAAATATTTTACAGAGTCCAAATTCAAATTCAGCCTTTTTTTTAAACTGATATAAAATGATAAAGATTAGAAAGAATTGCAGTTTTTCTTTCAAAATTTGATAAAATATCTCTGAGATTTCACATTAGAAGATGGCTTCCTCATAATTCAGTTTTCTGCAAATAAAAAGACAAGAAATATGTTCAATATGCCAAAATGTTGCATACTTCTCAAATGGTAAAATTCTAAGTTCATATAAAACATTTCAAAAAAACAAATATAGACACTTAAGACCTTAAATCTACTTATTGAAATTATAAAAAAAAAAATTGCTATACATATGTATGTTTGTGTATATATATATATATATATATATATATATATATATATTTGGGCAGAAACCATTCTTTCACACATATTTCATTGAAAACAGCTGAGAAGGAAAATTTAATTCATGTTTTATCGAGTTTTTTCAGCAATCTAACATTTTTCTGCTTGAACTCTACACTGTAAAATTCCTATGTAGCAGCCACACAGAATTTCACCATCCAAAAACACATCCTTGATAATGCCTAGAGAAGTAGCCAAAAGCACTCAACAATTATAACTGTGGACAATTCCTATATTCTTTAACCCCTGAAAAACGCAAATTACTGGAAAAACTCAATAAAAGATTAATTAAATCTTACTTGTCAGCCGTTTTCGATGAAAGATGCACATTATATATATATATATATATATATATACATACACGCACAGATCCTGCTAAGTGTGCATCCTACATCTCTGATGCATGACAATCTAAAAGGATGCAGTAAACTCCCTGTGTATCTCAGAGACACATTAATTTTCCCATGAAAAATGATACATTGCATACAACTAACCCATAACAGTTATGAGATAGTAAAAGGAATCTGTTGTTTGTTGATAAGTAAACAAGGACCTCAGTCCAAATAATGATGCATCCACATTTAATTTAAAATGTAATTAATACATTCTTTCTGTAACTAAACACAAATCATTCGTCAAATGAATTATGATAGATATAATGATAATTAGTACTTAGATATTTTTTAAACATATTTTGTATTTTTGTTATTAAATATATAATAAAATGTATTTTTTAAAACTATTAATGCAAAAAACTTACAAACAAAGGCATATTTGTTATGATTGGTTGTGCTAATAAATACTTAATATTGTAGCATCTGTTCTAGTTGGCAAGTGGAAACATGTCAAACTAATAATGTAATTTTCCTGGTTCAAACCCATCTACCAGCCAAGTATGCAAATAAATATCAATTTTTATTAATTATTTTTATGTTAGGGAATTAAACAGTCAAAAATTTCCCAAGGAATCTATTACTTTAAACATTCTAAAATGTATTCCAGAAAAAAAATACCAAGCCCTTTCTAGAGATGTGTAGACATATATAAAACATATTTCATCAAGTTAGTAAGTGTCAGTAAAAACATAAATTGTCTTAAAAAGAACAAAATAAGTGAATTTGTAATCTTTAATGTTGGACTATCTCCCAAGCAATAAAAATGTATTCCCTCTCTATCCTAATTCTCTTTTAACATTACAACTTTTAACATTCATTTTCTGTGACTTGTGTTGAATTTCTGTCCCATCTGAAAGTGAGAAAGAGCTGAAAGTCTATGGAGAGGGGGAGTTGGATATTTTAACTGCCCACTATGGACATGAGCAAACCCACAAATGGATTGGCTTATGGCCACATCATGTTGAAACATTGGTTCCTGTATAATCACCAAAGTTAAGCAACATTGAGCTTGGTCAGTACCTAGATGGATGACCACTTGGGAATACCAGTTGCTGTAAATTTGGATATGTGGGTGGTGTAAGGGATAAAGACTCAGAAAATTTTAATCGGAGAACTGAACTCCAATTCCAGTTGGGTTCATTATATTCACCTATGCACAAATACACCTGGGAAAGGTATGAATCCACCTATTCTCCCACTAGCTATAAGTTAATTAGTAAGATTTGTATCACTAAACCATTATTATCTCAAAAAAGAAAAAAAAATTTGTACAATCTTAAAATATTTTCTTAATTTTAAATAACTTGCAAAGAGTTGATAAGCCGTAAAAAATGAATCAATCACAAATGGATTGAGGCTGAAGTGGATTGCCAGATAATTACCTAGTCCCTCATCAATGTTTCTCAGTTTTGACTGGAGTGGAACCTACAGGAGAAAGTTGTCAAAACCCCAGAAAGAGCTTGTGGGAGCTTTGGGCATTGGTGTCAAGATATCACTTAAAAGGTTTCCACAACCTCACCATCATGGCTGAACTGGCCACCACCTTCACTGTGCATACATCTGGATGTAAATGATGGGTCTCTGCTCAGAACTTCATTGCCAACCCTCACCGAAACAGGATGTCATTAGAACATCAAGACCAGCTTTTTAACTATGGCCCCAAAAGGTCAGAGTTCCCTTTTGAAGAGGTACTAGCCAAATGGAAAAGAGTCAAGCAGAGAAAATTGTACACTATGAAGTACAAGTAATAATTGATAAATGATATGGAGTTTATTCACATTAATCTGCTCATAACACACAACAAACACACCTGCACCATTTCCACTGTTTTAGTTAAGTTTGAATGGGTTAATTTTCTCATCAGTTAAAATCACATTTGAATTAGTTGATTATTTTCAGGCAAAAATATCTTGGTGACAGTTTGTAGATTCTATCAAGGCGTTGAGAATGTTTTATTCATAGGTTAAAATAGCACACTTATATTATTTTGGTACTACTTTGGTGCACTATTTTGTTTTTATTTGAATTTATGCAATGTTTTGCTTATATGCAGTATACTCACCTCTATTTTATTTGATAATTTATTTTGGTGCTATTTATGTTTGTAGAGTAGAAATGGAAAGATTCATTAGATACTGGGGGACTTACAAAGTTACCTTGTTCAATGTTATATAAACAGCCGAGTGGCTAGGGGCCAAAGGTAGTTTTGTATTTGTATCTCATTGGTACGAGAATAAAGTAATTGAGAATTACTACTACCATTGTCGTTATGGTTATTTTATATGGCACTGTGAACAGGATTCTGATGAATACATGGATCAATCTTAACAAAATAAGACATGGCAGGTGAAACTCGATTTGATTGCTCATGCAACAAATGAAAGAGCTACTTGCTCTTCGAAGGGATGGAACCCTTAACATGACACAAACTTCGAACACAAAAAAAAAATTGAACCCAATGCAATGGAAAATGACTGGGTATTATTCTTTGACGCTTGGACTCAGTATAAGGAGATGTGCAAACTTACCAACCCAGTTAAGATACACAATGAATTGAGAATGACATGCTTGCCTGAAGTAAACAGGCTCCTTTTCAGCCTTATTGGAGCTGAAACCTTAAATTCGGCTACAAAGCAAATGCTTTCGTCACACATTCAATTCTTTGCAGTAAAGACTTGCACAAGGAAGTTCACCGGCAGACCTTTCATTCCACACATCAAGCAGAAGGCAAGTCAGTCACTCCATTTTTAGCAAAGCCATGAGCTCAAGCCAAATTTTGCTTGTTCACAGTTGATTGTCCCATTACTGAAAGCTGTGGTTAGCGAGTCAAATACTCATGTGACATGATAACTGGGAAGATGATTACAGGACTCGCCAACAAGGAGCACCAGAGTCGAGTTTTGGTAGAGGCTGCCAACCTCAAAACACTCAAATTCAACTGACTCATCAGCTTGGAAACAATAGGCAAGTTAGCTGCATGATTACTAAATGTTGTTAGCTCATCAACCTCATCCTGCCTACAGATATCTAGCCATGAACAGTGTGCAGTTCAACAACTCCAAAGAACTGATATATCCACTTCTTTGCCAAGTAAGAATCTTTGAGTGGTTTGTGGGATGACATTCCACCCCAGTGGATCAATTAATAGGAGAGATTGCCCAGCAGCTAAACTAGTATTGCAGGGTTAGGGATCATGTAAAAAGGGTATACCAGAACACTATTGAACTTGGAACCATGAACAGATCAACAAGGTGAGAGACAGGGCATGATTCATTCACTTTCTCAAACACTAGCCTAAAAGTTTCTTCCATCCACTATGCTGGCAGATCAAAATGGAGCCATAAAACCAAGACTGGTCCAATTACCCATGGTAGTCATTACATTCCTGCACTTACTGATACAAAGGCTCAAACTTGTTCAAGTGGATCAGAGATATTAAAACTACTCAGGTGCTCAGACAAGTACCTCATGCCAACTTGTCATCAAATACAAAGCATCATAGACAACCAAATTCATATAAAAGGCATGTTGTTCATGGATATAAGAATTGGTTTGAGGGAGACGACAGATGATGTATGTATCAAACACATCTGGTTTTTATCTATCATAATCTGCCCTTAAGGACCTACATCTGTTTTCACCTGGTTTCCCAGCGCAAACGTCATGACTCAACTCACTGAAGGGCACAAAGGAAAATGCTATGTGTATATTCCCACGCAGAAAACCCATTCCAGCGATGCCTAGTACCATCGTGTTCCTTCCAACAGAAACCAACAGGCACATACTGGAATGATGGCTTCAAGTCCAGTGCATTTAATACATGCCCACACCAACCCTTAGAGTCTATGACAAGAAAGCCATTGGACATTACCTTCATCCCTGATGTGAGGCCATCAGCGATCCACACACCGATCCCTGTCTCTCACTATTGGAAGAAGAGTGTGAAACAAGACCTTGATTGAGATGTATTGGGTATCATTGAACCAGTGCCAGTGAGCACTCCTACTACCTGGTGCTCAAGGATGGTAGCTGCACTCAAAAAAGACAGCTCTCCAAGGCACTGTGACAGATGCAGATAGCCTAAACACGCATATATTAAGGTTAATTTCTGCCTAGCAACAGAATGGGGGTCACATAGACGTCGTGTGACATTTTGGGAAAGCAAGTCAAAAGGTTGACTGACCCAATTACCCGTAGCAACAAATGTCTAGACAGAAGCTAGACAGGGGACTGATGTAAGCTGGAATTCGTGCCAAAACTTAAGACACGCGAGACTCAAAAATTTACTTGGGAGTCAGTTGTTACAAGTTGAATTGTGTAAAGAAACAGAAAAAGGGAAAACCAGAGAGGAAGAAAGTGTATATCTCTGTTACAAGCTGAATTGTGTAAAGAAAGAAAGAAGAAAACCAAAGAGAGGAAGAAAGTGTATATCCCTGTTGCAGTGAGTCGGGTTCGGAAACTGAACTGTATACAGACGAAGAAAGAAGGAAAGAAAAAAAGGAAAAACAGAGAGAGGAAGAAAGTGTATATCTCTGTTACAGCCAGACAGTGTGTGAAATCATATTTGTGTCAAGAAAAGAAAAGAAAGGACAATGATAAAAAAAAAAAGAGAACTGAATATAAAGATAAGTAATCATATATTTTGGACCCGTGTTAGAAAGATACACATGCATCCATAAATATTATGTTCTTACAAACACCTTTCCACGTGTCAAAATAATAATTGTAACTCCTATCCCATCTCTTTTGTGTATGCACTGATTTCTGCATTGATCTGGCACAGACAACGAAAACTGTTCTGGACGCATGAAATGTGTACTACAGCTTACCATTTTCCCCAGCTGCACAAGATGCCACTACATTTATCACTGAATGGAGCCGGTACAGATATCTTTGTGCTCTGCAGGAATTTCACACATCTGGAGATAGATATACCTATCGGTTCAATGATATTACAGTGGACATGGTTCAAAAAACTAATTGCATAGATGATAACCTCCTTTGGGACGATTCTGTAGAGTCCTCTTTCTGGCACACAATGGAATATATAACCCACTGTGGGAAGAATGGAATTGTGTTTAACCCTGACAAATTTCATTTTGCAGAGAATGAGGTAGAGTTTGCTGGGTTTTCAATGGCCAATGGTGTGAAGCCAGCAAAGAGAATGATTGAGGCTATCTGTCACTTTCATACACCCACAAATATCACAGACTTCAGGTCCTAGTTTGGACTGGTGAATTAGGTATCTTATTCATTCTCACAAGCTGGAGTCATGACCCCCTTCTGGGAATTACTGTGTTCAAAGAACTGAAAATTTTATTGGTACAAAATGTATGACCAACTTTTTGAGGAGTTGAAGTGAGTAATCATGTGGTAAATTGAGAATGGAGTCAAGACATTCAAGATCAATAGAATGACATGCCTTTCAACAAATTACAGTAAAACAGGAATTTCATTTTTCAAGAACACTAATTGCCTTGGTGAAGTGAACCCAAATTGCAGTGATTGTCAGTGGAAAATTATATTGGCTGCATCTTGCTTTACCAATGGCACAGAATCCTGCTATGCACTAGTTGAAGGTGAAGCCTCTTGTCTATGGACTAGAATCATGTCAGATGTTTATATTGGGATGCCTAGAGTTGTTAATGACTGTTGTCCATCAACCACTTGTAAAAATTTTCTCACATCGGGCCCTAGAAAACAAAGAACACACGTCTCTTTAATTTTAACTAATGTACAAATTTAGCATTAAACATCTCCCTGGAAAACTTAGTGGTGAACCTGACTGCACCTCCTGGTACCCATATGGATCCCATCAGAGGACTCGACAATGTCTCCAAACATCATCTGCACATATACAACAAAAGTGTAGATGGTCATTCTATTATGTGACCACAACTGATGCAGTCAAACCAATTAACAGTGCAATCAAGGTTGCATTCATGTCCACATATGAGCATGACCCTAGATTGAGGACTATCACATGGGATAGGATTATTGCAGTGGCAGCCATTGATGAAAAATGTTGGACTGATGGAATATATACAGACTGATTCCCCCAAATCACACCATGACCTCCTGTCAGTGATCTCTCAGTTTTGGCCCATGCATAAAGAATTGTACTGCATCAAAAGGAGTACCGATCAAAGAGAAAAAATCCTTTTAACTTGATAACTTTTTGTGGAAGTACATGAATCCTTACATTCTGCACAGCAAGGGGTACATCGCATGTTATCAAATGCAAGACAACACTTATTTTGGCCTGGTTTGGATGTTAGTGTTCAGAACCCAATGCCAGATATGTAACTATCACCCCGTCACAGCCTAAGGAGCCCTTGATGCTTCAAACTAACCCTGAATTCTCATTCCAACAAACTGTGATTGACTTTTTTAACTTACACAGGAGAAATTATGTTATATATGCAGACTGGTACACTGTTTGGGTGGAAGTGGCCCTAATGTCATCTGGGAACATCCCAAGAACTTGGTTCTGCACATATGGTGCACCTGATAAAACCTTTCTTCCAACAGTGGAGAGGTATACAGTCATGTTATCAAAGGACAAACACCAGATATGTAAACAGTGAAGAGAAATTGGTGAACTGAGAGAGACAGCAATGACTAAAAGGCACATGTGAAATGAACACTTTTACAATGAACATTGTCGCCCATTTTGGGAATTACAAACTGGCGATTCTATTCAGATCCAGAATCAAAATGGCCCTTACCCTCGTCATGGACGAAAACAGAGAAAATTACAGAGATACTCGATAACCAGCAGTACCATGTGTGGGTGGATGGAAGCAATTGAATAACTCTATGCAACCGACACTTGGAAATGGAAATTGACAACACTGCAGATTTAGTTTGGCCCAATACAAAATAATATTGAAAAACACCAATATCGGGTGATACCAGCCCCAAGTCAATGTCCACAGTGAAACACGTGAGCACCTTAAACTCTATCCCCACAAATGCAAGGACAATTGCACACATCTAGGGTAAACCTTCAATTGACCACCTCAATCCGTTCTGTGGTCAGAGGAGGAAGAGGGCATGTAGAGTAGAAATAAAAGGTCTCATTAGATAATGGGGAACTTCCGAAGTTACTTCATCCAGTGTTATATAAACAGCTTAGTGGCCAGGGGCATTTTTGTATCTCGGTGGCACAAGAATAAAGTAAAAAAGAATTACTACTACTATTGTCTTTGTGGTTATTTTACAATGTTGTTACAGAAAAAATATTTTCTTTGAATTTTGTATCATACAGATGTGAAAGTTGGTCCCATATTTCTAAGCTGAGTCAAGGGAGCTTTGAATTTTTTAAAGGAAAGTTCACCTTTTATAAGAAACCCAAGTCAACACATCCAATTTATTAATTAAAAAAAAAACTTATTTTGTCAATTTAAAAAACACTTTGCTCAGTCAACTAAAAAAAAAAAAAAACTTTTTTCTATCATAATTCTTAAAAATAAGTGTAAATACAGTTTTTAAATTTATTAATTTAAAAAAAAACAACTTTTTTTCTGTAAGTTTAAGCGATTTGGGTTTTTCAGGTCAATGGTAAAAAACGTTTAACATTACAGTCTATTAAGAAATTCTACATTAAAAACCTATCAGCATCGCTGTATATAGATATATATGTGCATGTGTGTATGATTGAATTTTTTTTATTCATATCATGTTCACAATGTTCTGTATATGAAGTGAATAAATACTTAATGAAATATTACCTTCAAACATGAGATTTCAAATTCTTTTTAGTCTTTTAGTTTTATAAAATCAAAACCAATTCAACTTATTAGCCATCAATTGCTGAAGTAAGAACCAATGCTTACCAAAGAACCTTTGCCAGGGTAATCCTTGTTTTCTATAGTCACCAGCTCACAACGATCCTGCTTGATGAGAAAATCCTTCACTTCCCAAGCTCTTGACCCATCCTTCAGCATAAAAATGGCTCTGTTGTCACTAATCATGTACCTGTTAAAATAATAAAATGCACTGAAGCATAAAATTGGACCCAACTCCTATATCCCTAAGGAAAAATTGTCATCACTTAGAGAAAAATCTGGACCTGCTATCAGATGTACAAACCAGAAAATTGATTTTATATCTAAGTATCTTAAGTCTCACATATTGAACTAAATTTGAGACACAAGGAAATATTTTTATTTGTAAAGAGAATGAACTGCTTTTTTTAATTGTGTGGAAAGTACACCACCAAAACAATCACAAGGTGAAGTTTTATTTGCATTTTATCAAAGAAATATTTTCTGAATAAAAAATTTGTATTTTGTTAAAGCATATTTTTTCGAAAATACAGCAACATACTAACATTTTATTTAGAAATATTTACACTATTTACATTATTCAGACTATTGTCTTCATCTTTGTTGCCATATTTATCACAACGTTTTGGCCATTGTATGCTCTGACCTTCTTCAGGTGGTTGGAATGTTGAACTGAACCCTTTATTTTGCTTGCTGGGGTAGACTGTTCTAGTGGAATGTGCTAATGGATGTCAGTTATCAGCTATCTCCTGTTAATTCCCCTCTCCAAGTTCTCCACTGCCTTAACCAGGTAATTTAACTCACACTCTTTGGGTCCTGTCACTGGATCTAACTAACGCCTTTATCCACTGTGCCATGTGTCCTTGAGGACATCAGTGTATGAATTTCTGGGTATTATGAACCTGTCTTCAGCAATCATTTTCTTTACCAGTGCTCAATTTTTGCTGTTATCATTGCATGTTTTTTACCAGAGCTCATATTGCAATTTTCATTGTTGTTATCGCTTTTCTCTGGCATTTCTATGCTTGATCGGCTCAGATTTTTGTGGCCTAGCATATGTGCTGATTCCTTAAGTTTACGAAATTTCAAATGATGTTCTTTGTCTATGATTTCAACCTGATCCCACAGAAGGTGGTGAGCTCTCTTTTCTCTCCATATGTGGTTAGCCATGCCTGATTTTTCCACTTCCCCTCTTGTTACAGCTTTCTGGTGTTCTTGAAGCCTTACCTTAAGGGGGCGGCCCGTCTCCCCCTCTCCCCTTTATATTTCTTTCCGCAGCTGCATGGGATGGCATACACACAGTCTTTATTCATGTTCTCCTTTATGGGGGTGGGTCTTACTCAGGAGGGATATCCAGCTTTTGAAGGTTGTCCTGATGTTATATGGACCACAGATCCTTCGTATTTTTTCTGATAACCCCTTCACATTAGGCAGGCAGACTGTTTTCTGAGTGTTGTTGTCCTCCTCTTGTACCTGCCTATCCCAGTTTATTGGGGCTGCTGCCATGTACCCAGGGTAGTTGTTACGTTGTAGAGTACTACTTATACTGACCAATTCTTTATCTAATGTCTCTGGGTCACCACTTATGACTTTTGTTCAGTGTTGTAAGCAGCGGATGATCCCTTTCTTTACACTGTATGGATGGTGGGAGTTGAAATTGAGGTACTGTCCAGTGAATGTCTGTTTATGGTATATGGATGTCTTGAACCCATGCTCGGTTCGACATATTAGAAGATCCAGGAATGGGAGTGTGCTGTTACTCTCTTTCTCCATCGTGAACTGTATCGAAGGTCTTATTGAGTTCACATGGTCCAGTAGAACCTGAACATCTTCCAGAAGGCCAGAGCATACAACGGCTGAAACATGGCAACAAAGATGAGGACAATAGTCCGAATAATGTAAATAGTGTACATAACACCTCATCTCAGAAATATAGACAGATATTTTGGAAATATTTGTTGACTATTCAATGTTAATCTAATTCTATTAATTCTTGCTACATTTTTAGGTAAATCTAGAAAGTATTTCAACTCCTTATTTTGTTTTATATGTATATATAAAGTAACCAAAAAAGTCCTTGACATATTTCATGTTGTGTGTGAAATGATCACTTATATGCAAATGAGTGCATCACATGATAGGAAAACAGTAAGGGTGGGGACATTGCTTTTGAGCAATGCAGGTACATTGTGCACACACATCAGTCATAGCACAAGCAGTAGCAAGGAAATATGGTGGTGTTGAAGTAGCTCATTTGAGGTTGTCTGCTTTATGACTTTAAGGTGGGCTTATCTGCAGCTGCATCAAGTTGCTGAATATGTCAAGCCTTTGGGGATAATTCTGTCAGTGAACACACTGCTAGGTATTTGTTCCAGAAGTTCAAGTGGGAGATCTATTCCTTTGTGATGAACCCTGCAGTAGCCAGCCATAGGTCCTGTATGATGAGGTCCTGAATGCAGTAATAGAGAACAATCAAACTTGTGTTGAGCTTGCTGAATGCTTCTAGGTCTCTGATGAAAGAATCAGACTTCATCTGCACCACATAGGAAAGGCATACAAGTTAAGAAATTAGTTATCCCATACACTGTTGAAAGCCAACAAACAAGTGACAGCCTGTTTCTCATTTCTTCCTCAGCACCAGCAAAAGTGGGTCCTATATGACACTCCCAAACATGCTAGATATTGGTTGTCACCATAAGACCCTGCGCCTCGCACCACAAGATTACCTCTATATCCATGCTCTGTATCTGATGGACTAGTCACCTTGAACTGCCACCAATGGACGAAACCATCACCACAGACATCACAGCATTTGGAACGTGTGCAACAGACACTGAAGCAGAAGGGACCAGCATTGGTTAATCACAACAGATACCATATGGCAATTTGGCTGGGAGACACTCTGTCAGCAGATTACCACCTCTCCCATTCCCTGGACAACCACTTTTGTGGGAAATAGTTTGCAAATGAGGCAGACTTGCAGCAGACACTCAGAGTTCTTTGTGGCAAGACTCCAGATTTTTGTCGTCAGGGCATTGTGTAGCTGGAGGCACATTGGTAAAAGGTTCTGGATGCCGACAGGGATTACTTTGAGGACTAACGGCATAGCAAATTTGCTGTATAACTTTATGATAAATAAAAAATGACAAGAAATTTTTGGTCACTGTGTGTGTGTGTATATATATATATATATATATATATATATATATATATATATTTTCAAAATAAGCCATAATAGAGTGAACATCATGAATCTGAATTAAGAGCAATGAATAAACAATGACATTTTGGATGTAATTACTGGATGAACAATGAAATTTTAGTTTTAAAATTTTGCAATTAAGAGACTTGATTTTAAGAAAAATCAAGTGAGAGTTTGACTAAAACCATTAACCAATTTATAACAAGTTGATGGTTAAAATAGAAATCAATCCAAAAACCTGAATAAAACTTTAAGCTCCTAAATAAACTAAGATAATTATCAAAATTGCAAAAAAAACAAATATACATATTTAATACATTAAATCTATTCATTTAAACTATAAAATATTTACTTATAAAAATTTACTTATTTATATACATTTAAGTAAAATAATTTACTTTAATCTTTGTGTACAAAAATCTTTCAACTCATCCTCATCATTTCTTATTGCAAATTTTATATTTTAGTGAATCAACAAAACTAAAGTATTTTGAAATGAAAATAAAAATGATTAAAAACTATAAAAACAAAAGAACTACCAGAAAATCCAACAATGTCTATGAAATGTTTATTAAATTGTTATTGTCCTTTGTGTGATTTTAAAGTATAATAAATTCATAACATTCTTTAGTTATTCTAATATGACTTAAATATTAACTTTTTAAGCTTCTTCAAAATCTAGTTTAGTTACAAAATTATTGGAATTCAACAAGTTTTATAATGCTTGCCATCACCATAGGATAAAGATTCAGATTTTGTAGTCAATTTTGGTTCATTTTTTTAACCTTTCAAATGTTCAAATTCTGTCCCATTTAATAAAACTGACTGTTTTTTTTTTCAAGTCTTACAAGGGACAAACATTGTGATGGAATGGAAAAATTGCAAAGACTGATGAAAAAGGTATTGTGGAGGGGACAATGGAAAAAAATGGCTTAATATTATTAGGACCAGTTTATAATTAACAACAAAATTTATTGACCTGGTAATATCCAAATTGCCATTATACAAACTTGACTGCCACAACGACGTAATTCGTTCAGCTTCTTCACGACTTGGATTACCTGTACAAAAAGAAATTAAAATATACTTTAAACTTAAATCAGTAACTCATTACTATTCAAAATAGTCCCATCTTAAAGTCAAAATAACACTCTTCAATTTGGTGGGCATAAGATAGGTTTTGAAGTTGTTTTTCACAAAAAGTTGGTCGAAAATTTTACTGGATAAAATACCATAGAAATTCAATGCTAAAAAAAAATAAAAAATAAAAAAATGAAAATTACACCTCTTTTAGAGCAATGTCTTTAATAATCAGTTAGTTTCATATCATAGTACACATAGACCTTGAGGCACACATGAATCAATTTTTTTTGATTTATGTGAGTATACTGCATTCATTTAATTCAAAACCATGGGTCCAAGGTATAGAAATTTGTATTGCTGATAGCAAGAAGTTGCAAGGTACTAAATGTTGAAATTAACCTTTAATGAAGTCAAAAACATCCTTGTGTCATGCCTTTAACTATTTCATTTTTGACAACGCAATTTTTCTCAATGTTTAAACACAACTGATCTAATAATTATTGATTCCATTAGTATTATATTTCTTTTACTTCAAGACTACCTATATGACATTAAATTTACAACTCTTCTGACAACTGCATCTTCAAATTGAAATTGGAACAGAAAACTGACAAACTTTGGTCATAACTTTGCTGCTAACTTAGCTACCAAGATAAAATTGGTACTATTTTCATGTTTTGTCAAGCTCTTTATGTCTAAGTTTTTAGATAAAATAAAAATTTAGTTTGGTATACATCTCATGATTGTATTAAAAAAATATCCAGCAAAAAAAATTACCTATCGCAACACCAAATTTTTAATAAGCTTAGAATATATTTACTAACCATTATTTAGCTACCAATAACTCTAGGTTATTTTTCTATGACAAAGACATTGCTAAGTGTATGGGTAATAGAATAATAGTCAAGCAGAGAATAGCTGACACTACAATTGATATTTGCAATGTTATTAAAAATTAATGTTTTTCTTTTTATCAAGTGAATGTAAATTTGTAAATAAGTAACTATTTAAAATAGTAAAATTATGTTCATGTGTTATTAAAGTCTATTACTAGTTCAATACATCTGGTAATCTAATGTTACAAGTAATTCTACTCAATCATACACAAAGGAATTTAATCCATTCATATTGAAACATTCATTTTTAGTACAATTATTTCATCTACAACAAACTGGGAAAAGTAAAATGAAAATCATTAATTTTGTCTAAAAGTTCAAAACTTTATAAAAATTAATTTTATCCCTTAATTAGAAAATTGGTCAGTGATTTTTTTACACCATATTTTTATGAAGAGGAAACATTCATTTTATGTTAAAAAAATTGCTTTTCACTTTGATTTAATAAATTATACCATTTTCTTTAATTCTTCAAATATTTATAAAGAAATTAAAATTGGATCTTTTAATATACAAGGTAAATATTCTAAACTTATTTCATGGAAAACTAACTTTTTATTACCTCTTTTTGTATTATATATATATATATATATATATATATATATACATACACATACAAACACACACACAAAATGAAAAATCTGTCTATTCATTATCTCTTGAAAATATTTTAAATAAAACAGAAAAACAATTTCTGTCTAAGATTTTAAAATGACTTTTTAATATTCAATCCTTTCTAATACTATTCTTCACCTTGCATTGTTTTCCACATTTTGGCTGGTCCATTTTCTAACCTTGTTCATACAACTTTTTCCAATGTAAAATCTTGTTGGCCTTATTCTGTTATCCATTCTTAGAGTTTGAATTCCAGTCAGATTTGTTACATTCTAAATAACTCCCAAAGGGTTGATAAACCATAAAAAAAAAAAAAATCAATCAATCAAACACTCTTAGGGCTGTGTTTTGTTGCCATGATAATTTTTGATGATTCATTCACTACCACAATAGAATGGCAAATAGAAATGAATAAAACAGTAAAAAGCATCAGTAAAAAACAATAACAAAAAGCATCGGCCAGATTAAAGCAGAACATCATTGAAACATTCATCTGAAGCAATGTACATGGAATTAATGTTAGGGAATCAAGCTAAAATATCCTTGAACATAAAAATATACCCTTATTCATGGTTTAAATAAGAAAGCAAATTTTTAATTATTGTGAGAACAGACCAGGATATTTGTTAATCAAATATTGACTAGTTATAAGAATACTGTTCTGAGATATTGCATGTGCAAAAGTTTCCATTATCCTCTTTTTTGAAAACTAGAAACCAGTTGAGAAGTGTTTTTAAAATAAATAAAATACTGAAACCCCTTTTCACACACCTAGTGTTTTAAAACTTTCAAAAAGTATATGTACCTGAAACTGATACAAACATCATTAATGTCTTTCCTTTTTTGCTCATCATCATAATACTTTCCGGATTATTAGGGTCATATTTAGAGAAATCTACTTTGGGAGCTTCTCTCTTCCATTCTGGTAACTCATCTTCTTCTAAGTCATCATCATCACTATCCTGGAAAAACAACAACAGAAGTTAAATATTAATACATTATATATAAGTTTATTCAAAATCATTTCTACAGCATCTTGAGACTGGTAAAAGAACTGATGTCAGCTAGCTACACAAAGATCTAACACATTAGTTATTTTGCCTAGATAGTGCAAAAAAATTTTGATATATTTTCATAAAAATAGAAAATGCATTCATACAATGAATAACACAATGTGGTAAAATTTGAGGGTAATTTTATTTTGGCAATTAAAAATCTGTAGATAGGTTTAAAAATACTGGAATGAGATTCATTTTATAAAACTGAAAATATAAATTGAAGACATTGCAATCCATTCTTTTTTAATTAATAGCTTCCATATGTTATTTATATGTATGTTAGGTCTACTGAGGAGACCATCATAGCCTAGCATATTCCCTCATAAGTCTAGAGTTCTTTTCTGTCTAGTATTTTTACGGGTGTTGGTAGCCACTCTTTTCCCTCCATATATGATCAGCTATTTTATTGTCTCCTCCTTAATTATAGATTTCTGATATTTCTCCAACCTTACTCTTCGAGGCTGGCTGGCTGGTTTCATCTTTATTTTTTTTGTTTTTTTTCACACAACTGCAAAGGATGGAATATATAACAAAAAGTTGTAATTAGGAGTGAGACAATGAAATCAGTTATGGTTGAAGAATGAAATAAAAATACTAAATAGAGATAAAAAATTGGAGAATCAGACATCTTAAGGACTCAACACATGTGCCAGTCTATGATGGCCCCCTCAGTAGGCCAAGCATAGATATAAATATCATATGGGAGCCATTAAAAAAAAAATCACATCATGTACCAGAAATACCAATAAGTAAGAACCCTGGGATATGGCAAAAAGACTGTAGTGGCAAAAAATGCAATATAAATAAAAACAGAAAACATGTTGGACTATATGAATTCTAATTCACTATAGTGAAAGAAATGAATGATAGATTAGTCTTTCTGGATGTACTAATAACAACTTGTTTTGAACAAACTAATATACAGTGGACATTAATCTGGATTTTTCATCTAACCATCTATCCAAAGAAAAGGATTGTCCATGAATTACAACACTAAGCAAAACTTATGTGTCAAACCAAACATGTTCCAATGAGAGATGACTACTATAAAAAAAACACCTTCCAAAGAAACAACTATTCTGTAGACATGTGTATCTAGAAAAAAATTTTAAAAATTGGTGACAGTCTTTATATATCAGAAAAGATTCAGAGATTATGCAGGATCATATTCAAAAGTAATTGCATTTTATACCTCACCAAACATGACTTGTATGTACAACATTCTCTGTAATTATAGCAGGGAATACAAAGGTCAAACTATCTGTCCCTTAAAGATAAAACTTGAGAAAAACATTGGATAACTAATCCATAAGAAACTTGATCAACTTAATGAAATCTTAAAAAATGTTTCCTCTTGTGTTTCATGAGAAAGAATGATAAGTTTTATCATATAAAAGATCATGTTTTCCTCATCTATTAAAAGTAACAGCTAATTAAGAGTAATATTAGAAGGGCTAGAAAAATATCTTATCACTAATTAACCAGCTTAGATTTCAATTAACTTTAAAACCTGGTGTCAAGAGGAAATTAAGATTTTCACCAAATAGTTTACAGACTAAAGCAGATGTTACAAGTATTGGATGGATAACAGAATCAAACTTTGATTAAATTCATATAGAAAGTTTCTCTTTTTCTACTAAAATCCTTTCATTTAAGTTTCCTTAAGAAAGAAAGAGAAATGCATTTTGTTGAAATATTGAAGTTCAAAAATAAATATATAACAGAATAATTTTAATAGTAAGTAATTCCTATTTTTCATTTGATTTAATATTTTTTTCAAATTTAAATCACACTTAAATTTAAACACCAGCAAAATTGAAACTCAAGCTGAATGAGAATAACATTAAAAAATAAAAATAAAAGCATGTTTTTTGGTAATAATCTTACAAACATTGGGCTTCACAGAAAAACTACAGCTAAAAATTAGTTCTATCTTTTTAGTTTTAACCTTCACAGTAATTTCTTTATCAGTCTCTCACAATTAATTTTTCTTCCACATTGTATCTGTTAAGTTCCTCAAAAAAAGTAAAACAAGTGATACTTAATATTTAAAATGCATTTTAAAAAATGAAGTCTTTCTTGAAGCTTTTATTTTAGTTTTAATTCCAAGCTAATAGATTAAATTTAATATTTCCAATAAGCAAAATTTAAATTGATTGAAATTATTTTTTTCTGGTTATCAGTAAAATTTATAAAAATCGACCATATTGACAAATTTGTCAACACAGCATAATTTTCTTTATTAAAAAATCTTTCAAAAATAGAATATACTTTTCTGAAATGTTATTTGAGAAAAGTTAGCTGAATTAAAACAAATATTACTTTTACTTTAAAATATTACAGAAAAGTATTTCTTAAACACTAAGAGTAACACAGAGGTGGGTGTTTTTATGAGGTGTTGATAGAATAGATCTATCAACAACCTGATGTTTGGGAAATTTAAGCAAGGAACAGATAATTAAAAAAAATTAAATGATAAATACAGCATAAGCACCTTTTTTATATAATTTTTTTAATTACCCAGTAATAATCTTAAAAAATTAAAATATCTGTCTATATTTCTGAGATGAGGTATTATTTACATTATTCGGCCTATTGTCCTCATCTTTGTCGCCATATTTATTACAATGTTTTGGCCGTTGTACACTCCGGCCTTCTTCAGGTGGTTGGAATGTTGGACTGAACCCTTTATTTCGCTTACTGGGTTAGACTGTTCTAGTTCCACGTGCCATGTTTAATGGATGTCAGTTATCAGTTATTTCCTGTTAATTTCTCTCCACTGCCTTAGCCAGGTATTGAACTCACACTCTTTGTGTCCTGTCACTGGATTTAACTAACACCTTTATATGTGCCATGTGTCCTTGAGGACATCAGTGTATGAATTTCTGGGTATTATGAACCTGTCTTCAGCAATCATTTTCTTTACCAGTGCTCATATTGCAATTTTTGCTGTTATCATTGCATGTTTTTACCAGAGCTCATATTGCAACTTTTGTTGTTATTATCGCTTTTCTCTGGCACTCATTACTAGTTCCCATATTGTATTCATTTCTATGCTTGGTCGGCTCAGGAGATTTTTGGTGGCCTAACATATGTGTTGATTCCTTAAGTTTACAAATTTTCCAATGGTGTTCTCTATCTATGATCTCAACCTGATCCCACAGAGGGCAGTGATCTCCCTTCTCTCTCCATATGTGGTCAACCACGCCTGATTTTTCCACATCCTCTCGTGTTTACAGCTTAATTAACTGACACAAATACATTTTATTTTTAAGATTTAAAAAAAAAGAAAACAATTCTTGTAAAAATTATTCATTGAAAAAACGTTTTTCTTAAGATAGTGTTTCAAAAAGCAATGAAAAGCTTGTCTAATAATGTCTTCTTTTTATTTTACTAGTTCAGAGCATATTTTTTGTAACTGGTGGGAATCACATTTGACTAAAATTTAAAAATAATTTGAGTTTAAAAAGGACTTACCCTTTAAAAACATTTAAACAATACAATAAAAAAAAAAAAATTGAAATTTCATAAAAAAAATTAAATGAGTGGGAGGTAACAGATGTAAAAAAAAAAAATATATTTTTCAAAGGTTTTTTAAAAAAAACAATTTAAAAAATAAATTTCATTCATTTGTAAATTAAGTCTTGCCTGAATGTTTGTAACGGTAACCTGAATACAGTCTACCTGGTTTGTGAAAAGTTTTTTTTACACAAACTGCCCTGAAGGGATATGGCACATTAAAGTATTTTTTTTTAGTCACATTATCTTTTTTTAGCATGAAGAATTTTTTTTTTTTTTTTTGCCTTTAGTTTGGGAACAGAATGGTGCAAGAGGGAGAGTTTACTGTTTGGAACTAACCTTCTGAATTATTCGACTCATTTTTTAATTTCAAATTTGGTAAAGTAACCAATTATTTTAATAATAAAAAAAAAGATTTTTCCCAATTTTATTTCTTTGTTTACAAAATTAAAGGAAAGACGAGATTTTTAAATTGTTCAAGAACAATAAACTAAACATAAATGAGTACTTACTTTTTTTTTACAGCTCCGAAAAGTAAATACAGAATGATCAAATAATTGCGACTTTATAACTTTTAAAAAATATATAAATCAATTTTATTTTTAATCGATTCAATTATAAATAAAGGCCATGTGCGCTTTTATTAATTTTTTTTATAATTAATAACATTTATTTTAAAACATCATAAAAGTTAAAGTAGAGAATAAAAACAATATTATTATTCAATAAGAAATTATGAGATGATAAATTTTAAAAATGTTTAAGCCAATACCAATCAGCTGAGACTAGAGTTAAATAATGTCAGGTAAAGATTTTAAAACGAAAAAAGTTTACTGTCATAGTAAAGCAAAAAAAAAAAAAGGTGGATGGTCAAGTTCTCAAGTAAAACAGCATTACCTCCCACTGTTCATAAAGTCGTTCTATGTCAGCATCATTGTAATCTCGAATATCTTTTTTTTTCCATTTTTCCGAATCATCACTCTTTTTATCATCTTTCTTGTTTTTGGTTGCTGAACATGCAACAATAAATATCAATAATAAAAAGAAAAGTATCCAAATGGACAATCGACAACACGAGTTTCTCATGTCTTGTTGTGATAATGAAGTACACGCCGTCTTTTCTCAGTGGCGGAGCTATGAATAAAGTGGATGCTGAATTCAGTATACGCTTCTTCGTACTTTCTACTTGTCATAAAACCATTTTTAATTTTCATTATTTTTTATTTACAATCTAATAATAATTTAAAGCTTCAATTTTGAAATAAATTGTAAATTATGAGAAAATTAGTCTGTAAATATTACTTTCTGTGCGATTATTACCGTCTGCTATTGTATCCCTTTCCCTTGAAAATTACATTTAGGAATCCCACAGCGATTATGTAATAATATAAAAATGTGTCAAGTAAAAGTTTATGTATCTGCAATGTTTATTTTGTATATCTGTGGTAGTTTACTTTCTCTCTTTTTTTTTTTTTTTTTACTTTATCTTGAAAATCGTGTTTGGGCACATTTGTTGGGACCACTGATCAGTAGTTTTTTTTATTACAATTTTGGTTTGGAGCATTTTTTCTAAAATCTTTTAAAATGAAACTAGTTAGTAACATTCAAATTTCTTACAGTGATGAGAACTAATGATGTTGTACCATTATTAATTCTCATAACTGTTCCTGTTTTTTTTTGTTTGTTACAGTAAGGTTCACTTCCCCCTGTACAAGGCATGGGGATCACTCAAGGTAGAGGGTTACTTTAGGCAATTTGTGCAGATAGGAGGAGAAGATAAAAGTTAACCCTAGACTTGAACAGGTTAAAATTGTAGTGATTAGCAAAATATCCTCTTGGGAGTCAGTTCCACAGAGCAGTTGTTCACGGAAGCTGTTCGAGTAGAACTTACCTCTAAACTGTCGCAGTGTGCCCAAACACCACTCCCACCGTTTCTTAAACAACCCCGGCTATGCCTGCCGATAGAGAAAGGTCACGGCCCTTCTGTGCTAAAAATAGCAACGACATCCTTTCAAACTGTCAGAAACTTCAACACTAAAAAAAGACCTTTAATTTCGAACTGAAATTAATTTAAATACACAAAAACACCGAAAAGACTTTTGAGTTTGGATTATATTCATTTCTTGTTTAGCGACCTGCTTGTATGAAGACTATATCCCCGAGACCAACTGGCCGGGGGGGCAGCCCAGAACTGGGTTGACCCATGGCAAAGTCTAGTTTGACCAGCTTGGACATGCCAAGACCAACTTGACCAAAACATTGACTTTGACCAGCTTGGACATGTTGACCAAAGCATTGACATGTTTGACCAGCTTGGACATGTTTGACCAATCTTTGACCAGTGACCCTATGCGGAAACGCTTGGGTTTTTCCCACAAAAAAACGACCTTGTGTCACGACTTGACCGCATGGGAGTCAAGTATTCCCACGAAAAACGACCTTGTGTCACATCTTGACCTCGTGGGAGTCAAGTAAATACCGGGGGAGCAGGAAGCCTCCTGATTCGCGACTTTGACGCGCCCAGTCAAGTCGATCAAGCCCAGCAGCTGACGGGACCCAGCAGCAGTTGTTCAAACAGTCTTTTTTCAGGGCTAACTTCCCAAAGTCATTCGATCACTACTCTTCGAGACTTCACTCTTCGCTACTGCCTTCCCTCTGTGACGCCAGCACTCCTGCAGCTTCCAGCTCTCTCCTGCATCCTTCAGCTCATTCCTGCACCTTCTAGCACTCCTGCAGCCTTCAGCTCACTCTTACAGCTTCCAGCACTCCTACCGCTTCCAGCTCACTCCTGCAGTTTACAGCTCACCCCTGCGGCACTTTACTGACGTCCCGCGACCTATTCCAGCACCCGCCGACGACCTTATCCAGTGCCCACTGACGTCTAGCGCCCCGTTATCGTCCGGACACCGTTCAAACGACCTCTGTCTTTTACCATCCACCGTTTGCAAATAAAGACACGATTTCCATCGTCTACAACGGACCATCTGCGTTTGTCATCCTTCTTTGCTATTGCCATCTCCTTGCCCTTGTGTCCCCTTTTTAGTTGTACGGTCGATTGGCACTCACACCTCTCAGCCCGCTGCAACAAGTGGTGACCCCGACGTGATCTGATTTGGCTGGACAATATGGCGACGCAAACGAGGTATATTTTTGCCCTGCAGCTTCCAGCACTCCTGCAGCTTCCAGCTCACTCCTGCAGTATCCGGCTCACTCCTGCAGTATCCAGCACTCCTGCAGCATCCGGCACCTCCACCGTTTCTGACCATCTTCATTTCCTTTTCCTTTTAGAATAAACCTCTATATATCATATATATCCTCGTTCTGTCGTCCATATTGTTTCACCGTCAGATATAATCGTCTTCAAAAATGTTAGCGGGCCTCTTGTGACCTCGTTCACCCCCTTTCTGTGAAACGGGGCCACTGGACCGCCCGCTACAAAACAATGGAATATGGAGGGAATGTGGGTGGTTTACGACTAAGCAAGTAGCATGGCATGTTCTTGCTATGAAAGTTTGAACTTGTTGCGGGTCGTATGCTGAGTGAGGTGTATCAGAAGGTAAATTTTTATGAGGTGAAAATTATGCGTGTTTGCAGTTTGGATTATCCCACAACAAATAAATTACACAAAGAACATAAGGACAATTGCATAGCAAGGAATGACTGAACAATGTGATTAGAGATCAACAATAAAGAGATTTTTATATATAATAAATACACATGCAAAGATAAACAGAATTTTTGTTAGTTTGGTAATTGAGATAATGTTGTGAAGAATGTTAGTGCAGAATTGTGGTAAGTAAATGCTGATGCTTTTGGCTTGTTATTAAAATTAAAATAATTTTTGTTTGCCAAATTCTGATGAGGCGAGCCACCACCTTTCCATCCTAATCTTGACTTTAAGCTAATGCTTAAAGAACAAGGTCTGTTGGGAAGAAGTGAACTTCTCGCCATCATAGAATTCCTTCTGCACGTCGTCCAAATCATGACTCTCATAACACCTAGTAAACAACAGAACACATAATGTTCAGCCTAATGTTCAACACATTGCTACAAACAGAACTGGCTTCAAGGACAAAGAACTTTCCTTGCAGCATGCAGACCATGAGGCCTTCAACAAACCTGCACAATGGCACTACCACCCTGCAATAAAAGAAGGCGTGACCAATGATCTCGACTTCCCCAATACAGCGATGGCAATTTGGAGATTTCTCCAAGCCCACTGCACAAAGTCTTTTGCCGACCCAGAGGGCCCCATGAATCACCAGCCAGGTGAGTGATGCCTCATCATTTATTGAGGCATTTCAACCCAGGCGCTCAAGGTCATATTGAGCGAGCCTCCTGCTTCGTAAAACCAAGCTCAATTCGATTTGTGACACATTTGATCTAAGAAGGCGATGTGAAGCATATATTGATGAATCTCAATGCTAGGCATACCCAGACCACCCTCAGAGGGATGAAGGCAACAGATCTCCCAAAATACCATAGCGGCCTTGCCTCTCCACAAGAGAACAAGAGCCTTACTAATGACATTAGTGTGGTATACGGAAGTGGAAGTACAGAGAGTCAGTAAAGGAGAATTGGGTAGATGTGTGAAACACATACTTCCACCCTCCTCTTCAAGGAAAGATTCCTCAGAGACCACAGATTAACTGCAATCTCGGCCTTCCCTTGTACCTTCGACCAATTCATTTCCAACTAGAGATCAGGCCCAAACCAGACACTGAGTATCTTGACTGGCCCATCCATCCAGAAGAAAGGTCTGGGAAGAGAAACTCCCTTCCACACACCCAACTGCAAGCCAATAGACTTATCGCAGTTGATCTTGGCCCCTGTCACCATCTCATAACCACTGATCTCTTTGCTGACTTCGTCAGTCTCAGCTCTGCTCAACACAAGAACCAAAACGTCATCAACATAGGCAGAAGACCTGGCTGAGGTGGTAGCCCCAGGCAGGGAAATTCCGCACAGGACCAGATTTGTCTTTAACTTGCAAAGGAAAGGTTCCAACGCAAGAATGTAAAGCAAAGGTGAAAGTGGACAACCTTGACGAGTGGAGCAAGACAATACAAAAGGCTCCGATCTTACCCCATTCACTTCCACCAGTGCACCGGAAGTCACATACAAAAGTCAGATCCAAGAGCGAAAGTCAGGTCCAAAACCGGCCGCTGAAAGGACAGCCTCCAGAAAATGATGGTCAACCCTATTGAAGGCCTTGGACTGATCTAAATTGATCAGCACGGCTTCACTATCGACTTGTTCTAAGATCAAGCGTACCATATGAAGGTTGTCCTGCACAGCAGCACGTTTGGAGCCAATCAGACTAGACAGGACAAGCTGCAAACTGTTGGCTAAGATCTTTGCTAAAATCTTTAACTTAAATTTGATGACTGACTGACTTGAATTGAGTCATGTGTTTGTTTATATAGAGTTGAGTGTTTAAAATTCGGCTCCAGGGACTTTAGGCGGAAAAAGGTTCTGTTGTGACCTTTCTACAGTTTTAACCAATGGAAGATAGCAATAGTCCATTTTTGGCCTGATCTGGCTCTTGTAAAAATAGAGGATAGCATGAGGAGTCAGGTACTTGCTGGAGTACTACAGGGAGCTGATCATTTTATCTGCATCTTTAGCAATGGATCATATGTACAAGTTCCACTTGAGGTCAGGTGTGAATTTGAAGCCCAATAGTTTTCAAGGCATCATGTCTCCCTAAGGGGAATTCTGTTCATCCTGAATGTAGGTTGCTTTATTAATTTACACAACCTATTTAATTTTTTAAAACAAACTTTTTTTTAAGTGAGTTCACTCCAAGCAAGGCAGTGAAGACACTAGGACACAAGGGTTTACTGGGTATGGTCTTCCAAAATGAACATTACTAAGGAGCAGGGACAAAGGAAGAATAATCAGCAGATAGTGACTGACATTACATTTAAATTTTTGAAGATTAAAGTTGACTGGGAAGGTGTCCCTTTCCAGGAGGTTAACGATACTGATGGAAGGCAGAAAGGGGTCCCTCAGATGATAATAGAGAGCAGTTTTGTTTTTGAGGCATTAATATTAACAAGCCATTCTTTGTTCCAATTAACAAC